TTTCTGATAGTTGAGATCATGAATCAACTGGACGGCCGTTTCTTCCTGTTATGGAACTCAGCAGTGCACATCCACGATCCCAATCCAATTCAGGACCTATCAGTATCGCGTGCCATCGCTTAACCTCTAGACCACTGAACCGGCCGGCATCCAACGATGTTAATGTCTAACTTCAACCAATCCACTAAATTGAGCAACACATCTATCATTGTCTTCAGTGAGTTACTATCTCACAACAGACCTGGTTGAACTCTACTAGTCACTGCTTCTCACTAGAACTCCAGTAATATGTTAAAAACAATCAGTCGTATTTATTAGTGTTTTCTAGGGAATACCAATAACCATATCATTAACAGAGATATAATAATGATAATAATTGCTATATAAGAAGCATTTGTGGTTCAATTGGATGGGTTTAGTAATGTTCGTGTTCCCCAGTTTTAGACAATCATGGAAACAGGATTGACTGGTAAAATGACAAGTTTACTATTTAAGGGAATTCTATGAATACTAGTAAATTCCTAGAAACTGAGAAATCCCAATATTATATCCGGATGAGAATAAGTGAATGGTGAGGTTGCTTACTCTCACCCTTTCTCTTTCTCCTGGTGATTGACTGGATTATGAAGATGTCAATATCTATGGGGAAGCACAGGACAGCACAGTGGACAGCTAGGATGCAGCTGGATGATAATCTACCTCTTCTATCGCATACACAACAACAAATGCAGAAAACGATCAGTGTAGCACTTGTAGATCTCAACATACAAACAAGATTCTCCGATACAATACAGCATGTAGCAATCGAATCACAACTGATGGAGAAGCTTTGGAGGATGTGAAAACCTCTACATATCTGGGAAGGATCACTGATGAACACGATGGATCTGATGCAGATATGAGGGCGCTGATCGGCAAAGCAAGATCAGCATATTTACAATTGAAAGACATCTGCAACTCGAAACAACTGTCAACCAACATCAAAGTCAGAATTTTCAATACATAGGACCAATCGGAACTCTAGGCTGCTCGTACTACTGTATGCGTTATTAGCTTCATCGTATAAGTTAATGTATTTAAATTAGCAATCGTATTTCGTGATAATCGTACACCAATCTATCAAACTCACCTACTTACTTATGCCTGTTACTCCCAGTCGAGAATAGGCTGCCGACCAGCATTTTCCAACCCACTCTGTCCTGGGCCTTCCTTTCTAATTATATTCAATTCTTGTTCATTTTTCTCATAAATGTCTACATTTCTCAGCGTAGTCTGTTCTTTGATCTTCCTATTCTCCTTTGGCCCTCAGGATTTCATGTAAGGGCTTGTCTTGTAACGCAGTTGGCTTCTTCCCTCAATATGTATCCTATCCACTTCCAGTGTTTCTTCCTTATCTCTTCCTCAACTGAAATCTGGTTCGTTGTCTTCCACAGTAGATTGTTGCTGATAGTGTCTACCCAACGGATCCGAAGTATTTTATGTAGACAACTGTTAATAAACACTTATATCTTCTGAAATCTATCAAAAATTCACATAGAAATAGATCATCAACTAACTGATAAGACAGATAAGTTAAACAATAAAAAAAATGCCACAACAAATGAAAAAAATAACAAAACCTTGCAAGACAATCTATTATAAACAAGGTCATTAGAACTTGAATTTGCATTCTTACAAATGAGAACAATAAATGAAAGTTTTGTAATTAGATCATCTATTACTTACTTACTTACTTTCGCCTGTTACTCCCAATGGAGCATAGGCCGCCGACCAGCTTTCTCCAACCCACTCTGTCCTGGGCCTTCTTTTCTAGTTCTTTCCAGTTCTTGTTCATTCTTCTCATGTCTGTCTCTATTTCTCGGTGTAATGTGTTCTTTGGTCTTCCTCTTCTCCTTCGACCTTCAGGATTCCATGTGAGGGCTTGTCTTGTGACACAATTGGGTGATTTCCTCAAAGTGTGCCCAATCATCTATAATTCAATTAATTAGAATATTAGAAGGGATTTTTTGTGGATATTATAGTAATTTCAATAGTTGAGATCATGAGTCAATTGAACCTAGATCAACATGATCTCAACTAATATCCACAAAAACCCCCCATCTGATATTAATCAACATATGCTCACTAGTGACTGATTTCAAGAGATATTTCCTGGAGTTCTAGTGAGAAACAGTGACCAATGGAGTTCAACTAAGTCTGTTGTGAGATATTAACTCACTGAAGTTAGTGGTGGATGTTTCGCTCAATTTCGTGGATTGGTTGAAGTTAGACATTAACACCATTGTATATCGGCCAACTCAGTGGTCTAGAAGTTAAGTGTTCGCGCGAGACTGATGAGTCCTGGGTTGGAATCTCGCTAGGGGGAATCGTGGATTATTTATTATTTATTTATTTGAACGCATAAAGATTGGTACAAGGAAGCACCAGATATATATGCGCCGCACAAATCTCATTTGATTTGTGTGAGGGCTGTGATACTCCTCAGGTGCCCAAAATGAAGCAGATGGTTTTCTTAAAGGGACACACCCGAAACCTTTGACCTAAAGATCTGATCCACAAGGCAGTGAAGCATCGTGAGGCGATGCAGTCCCATGGTAGCCGGTGACCAACGATTGACTCATACACCATTTGTTCCCTCAGGATCACTGGAGCCAGCCCATGTGCATCATTGGTTTGGAATGAGGATTTTCCAACTCCCCTATGTGGAATTTCCTTGTCCACCAACCCAGTTAAAGCGCCAGACATTCTCTTTTCGTCCTTTCAATATCGTAAACAACAGTAATGCCTTGAGAAAGCAGTAAGTAGGACTTGTGTGACAGAGGCTATATACGCGTGGCTATGTGAGAGCATTTGGAGAGGGAGAGGTGACTCTCCCTACTCTTGGCTGTACCAGAGCATTTGGGGGCGGAATCATGGATGCACACTGTTGAGAAGTTCCACAATACGACGAAACCGCCGTCCAATGCTTCCAGGTTTTTCACGGTGATCTAGTTTCAATCGATTTATGATCTTAATTATTATAATCAAAATATTGACTTGTTGTCAAGTATTTTCAACCTTATTATAGTGAATATTTGACTTTAATTAAGAGTAAACATAAAATAGACCAAAATGAAAATTGATTATCTTCTAAAAGAAACAAGATTTGTTGCCAAATTTTGTTTTTTGTTTATTCACACACACACACACACACTCATACATGATATCTTCTCGTTGTTGTTTTTTTTTAAATTTTCTTCTCTTTTATACATTAGGTCATTTATTTAGTTTTCTTTTCTCGGTTTTCTTTTTTTTCTTTTGTCTTAGAGATTGATCTTATCTCTATGTTATTAATTTGTGAGTAATTAGTATATATTAGTATATCACCATACGGATTAGTAATGAACATCTTCAAAGTGATTTTTGATAACTATATTACTTATTTAGATGGTTATGTTTAGTTACTTAGGGTTACAGTTGTACTATTCTAACAATAGATAACATCAGAAAAGGTTTTGTAGAGAAGCTAGACCACGATGGAAAACCTGGAAGTATTGAATGGTTGTTTCGTCCAATTGTGGAACTCCTCAGCAGTCCGCATTCACTATCCTGTCAAGAAGGATATCAAACTCAAGACATATTGGTCTCGTAAGCGAACGCTTAAACTCTAGAATCACTGAACTGGCTGCCATCCAACGGTGTTAATGTCTAACCTCAACCAATTCACCATTGTCTTCAGTGAGTTACTATCTCATAATAGACCTGGTTGAACTCTACTAGTCACTGCTTCTTACTAGAACTTCAGGAAATATTTCTGGAAGTCAATCACTAATGAGCATATGATTATTATCAGAAGGGGTTTTTGTGGAGATTTTAGTAATTTTATAGTTGAGATCATTAGTCAATTGAAGGTAGACAACCATGGAAAACCTGAAAGCACTGAATAATTATTTAGTCATATTGCAGTCCTAAATATAAATGAGATCATTCCAGTAAACAATACCAAGTGAATTAAATGTATTTACATTTCATTCAATGTTGCCATTGATTGGTATAAACAGTTCTGTTTCTTAACGTTTCGTTGTAGTTGAATATAAGGTTTTTATCAGAAGAGGGTTTTTTTTTGGAAATTTTATTAATTTAGTAGTTGAATTCATGAGTTAGTTGAAGCTAGACCACCATGGAAAACATGGAAGCGTTGGATGGTTGTTTCATCCTAGTATGGAACTCCTCAGCAGTGTGCTCTCACGATCTCAAACCCAGAACCTATCGGTCTTGTTCACGAACACTTAACCTCTAGACCACTGAGATGACCAGCATCCACTGATGCTAATATCTAACTTCAACCATCTTCTGATAATAATCATGTTAATAACACAAATTTATTAAGAAATAATAACTATTTCTATTAAATAAAACTAATTAATATCACATTACATGTATATCTTCTAGTTACTTACTTACTTACTTACTCACTTACCTACTTACTTACTTACTCACTTACTTTACTTACTTACTCATTTACTCACTTACTTATTCACTCATTTACTTACTTACTTACTAACTTACTTTGCTTACTTACTTACCTACTTACTTGCTTGCTTACTTACTTTACTTACTTACTCATTTACTCACTTACTTATTCACTCATTTACTTACTTACTTACCTACTTACTTGCTTGCTTACTTACTTTACTTACTTACTTACTGACTTACTTTACTTAATGACTTACTTTACTTACTTACCTACTTGCTTGCTTACTTATTCCTATTACTCCCGATGGAGCATAGGCCACTGACCAGCATTCATCAACCCACTATGATATCTTTCTAATAAGTAGTAAGTAATTATTACTTAGAAACAACTAACATTGAACAATCTAATTTAGACAATAATTAAACAATCAAAACTAATTTATTCATTTACATATTTGTACATGACTACATGAAGGTTTTGTTGTTGTTTGCTTTTTGATATTTAAGCTAAGCGGATTATTGGGTACCTGCATGTGTTTATCTATATGAGTGGTCAATATCATTTTATAATCTTGTTTAAAGTTATGTAATTTTATTTTGAAAATTGTGCTTAATATAAGTTTAAGTTAGACCTACTACTACTACTACTACTACTACTACTACTACTACTACTACTACTACTACTACTACTACTACTACTACTACTACTACTACTACTACTACTACTACTACTACTACTACTACTACTACTACTACTACTACTACTACTACTACTACTACTACTACTACTACTACTACTACTACTACTACTACTACTACTACTACTACTACTACTACTACTACTACTACTACTACTACTACTACTACTACTACTACTACTACTACTACTACTACTACTACTACTACTACTACTACTACTACTACTACTACTACTACTACTACTACTACTACTACTACTACTACTACTACTACTACTACTACTACTACTAATACTACTACTACTACTACTGACAATAATAATAATGGTTGAAATCATATAGATTTCTGCATTATATTTATTATTGTATGGTTAGAGGGTGTTGTTATGTCCCGACAATAATTATGAATAGTAACTTTCAAGCTTCATTTTAATCCATAGACTATTATTATACGATTCACCATTCTTGAGTTATGCCCAGTCAATCAATTACAATCTCCTCTATTCATAGTCACATTTGGCTAAATCTTGTACATATGTTATTTTCTATTTTGTGGTGTGATGTGGTCTGTTTGATTTGTATATAAACTCCGTATGTTTGAAATAAATGATTCATACAGCAGAGGCTGTTATTAGTGTTTTGGACTTAGCTGACTGGACTAGGCAGAAGCAAGATCGACAAGTACACTAGACTGCTCGTAGAGGTTTCGTGTGTCATTGCTCCAACCGATAATTCGCTGCTCTCTAATTGGCTGTATTATCACATTATACATTAAGAGGATATCCAGGCGATCACAAATTATAACAAGTCTTCCAAAACCAGTATCATACAATCTTCGGTCAAGATGATAAAACAATATTACCATTTTGATTTATATTTGTGTTTAAATTAAGTTGGATGATTATAATTAAATTCTTTATTTTAATAGTTGAATTTATAAGCCGATTAAAATTAGACCACCATATAAAACTTAGAAGCACCGGTGGTCTTGTGGTGTAGGTTACTTATAACCACATAAGTAGTATACAAGATGGTCGAACATTGAATGTATTTCAGTAGAAGATCGATAACGAAAGAACGGAAACGGAATGGAATTAGTACGAAAATGCAGGAAAAATAATAATCGGAGACGATAATCTAATATTAAGACGGCCGTTTTGTCCTATTGTTGGACTCCTCAGCAGTCCGCATCCACGATCCCGCCTTGCGAGATTCCAACCTAGGACCTGTCCAGTACTTCCAGGTTTTCCTTGTTGGTCTAGCTTCAATTGGCTCAAGATTTAAACCATAAAATTACTAAAATCTCCACAAGAGATTTTTTGCGAAAGATATTTTCGATCCGTTGGCCAGATACTATAATCAACAAGCTACAGTGGGAGACAACAAACCAGATTCCAGTGGAGGAAGAAATCAGGAAGAAGCGCCGGAGGTGGATAGTACACATATTGAGGAAATCACCTAAATGCGTCACCAGGTAAGCCCTCACACGAAATCCTGAAGGCCAAAGGAGAAGAGGAAGTTCAAAGAACGCATTACAACTAGAAGTAGAGACAGACATGAGAAGAATGAACAAAAATTGAATAGAGCTAGAAAGGAAGTCCCAGGACAGAAAGGGTTGGAGAATGCTGGCCAGCGAACTATTCTCCATTGGGGTTAACAGGAGTAAGTAAGTAAGTAAGTAAATAAGTAAAATCTTCACAAGGAAAACCTCTTCTGATAACATGACTTGTGTCGAGGACACTAGATTTAGTTCAGGTCAGATGAAATTATTTCGTAAACTATTATGCTTAGATTAGATATGTAATGTTCTGAATGTTGGTACAAAAGCCTAACAACACATTATACTGTCTGATATGAATAGTTGCGGACGGTTAAAAAAATTGCTCATATCTCTTAAGAAAGTATATCTGGATCATTAGAAAATTAATGTTTATTGTGGTTTCTAACAGGTGGAAAACAGATATGAACACGAAGGATTAATTTATCTTCATTTGAAAGTAGAAAATATTGTTATTCCAGGACTGGCCTACATCAACACCTGAACTAAGGATAGGGAGTGAAGTAGTCGAACGCGTCGACAACTTCATTTATCTTGGAAGTCTGGTCAGCCCTAATGGGTTGATGTCTGACGAAATCTCAGCACGGATTCAAAAAGCTCGTTTGACTTTTGCCAACATATATCACCTATGGGGAAGACGAGATATCCGTCTATCAATTAAGGGACGAGTATACTGCACAGCAGTTCGATCTGTTCTACTTTACAGCTGCGAAATGTGGCCATTAAGAGTAGAAGATATTCAGAGGTTACTAGTATTTGACCACAGATGTCTTAAAAATATTGCTCTCATCTGATGGGATCACCTAGTGAGTAATAGTGAGGTTAGACTCAGGGTATTAGGGAATGATGGTAAATCAGTTGATGAGGTTGTGAATCTTCATCGACTGAGATGGTTGGGCCACGTGTTACGTATGTCGGAACACCGATTAACACGACTCGCTATGCTGACTAGTATTGAGGATGGTTGGAAGAGAGTTACGGGCGGCCAAACCAAAACATGGCATCAGTGCTTGAAGTCATTAACTTCTAATCTGAGCCATGTTGGCAGATGCAGACTACCTGGTTGAGGTCCGCGCGACTATCGTGACCAATGGTTGGAGACTGTGTGTGAAATGGCTCAGAATCGATCACTATGGCGTAGGTGTATACACTCTCTATCTTCCCTTAAACCTTGAGATTAAAATTGCTTCATATCTGTCTTCCTATACTATATCCTTATATACAATCTTTCTTTTATATATTACCACCACTAAATTAACTACTTCTATGAATTTGGTGTTCATCTTGTTGTGCTAATGAGTGATGTCTGACAACCTGGGCCGATGTCTTTTTTATTTTATTTTATTTAAACACATAAATATTGGTACAAGGAAGCACCAGATAAATATGCGCCTCACAAATCTCATTTGATTTGTGTGAGGGCTGTAATACTGCCCAGGTGCCCAGACTGAAGCAGGTGGTTTTCTTAGGGGGCCACAACCGGAGTCTTTGAACTGAATGTCTGATCCACAAGGCAGTGGAGCATCGTGAGAAGATGCAGTCCCATGGTAGCCGGTGATCAACGGTTGATTCGTACGCCATTTGTTCCCTCAGTATACTGGAGCCATCCCATGTGCACCATTGGTTTGGAATGAGGATTTTCCAACTCCCCTATGTGAACTTTCCATGTCCACCAACCCGGTTAAAGCGCCGGACATTCTCTTTTCGTCCTCTCAATTTCGTAAACAACACCCCCGCCACGAGAAGGCAGTGAGTAGGACTTCTCTGGCAGAGGCTATATATTCGCTGACCATATGAGAGCATTTCGAGAGGGAGAGCAGACTCTCCCCACTCTCGGCTGCACCAGAGCATTTGGGGGCTAATTTTTTCAACCCACCGAAGTGCAATGGTGAGTCTCCACCCGGGGTCAGAGCATTCCTGATCACCCTGAACCCAGCGCCGATGTCTACATGTGCCTGGTCCTACGTTGTAGCTGACTGACTGACTGATACCATTAAACCGTTTCGATTAAATCTTTTCTACTAATGTTGATAGTACTTTTATATGATATACAAATGATCTACTATGGAATGACAAAAAAGATTCATAAATGGAATATATATCCATTAATTAATTAAAAACAATCAACTACCTTAGATGATAACATAATTGGAAGATTAACTGTTTGAAATAATATTAATATTGATAATGGAAGTGTTGGCGACAAAAGAACAGCTATACATGCCATATAAGTACAAGAGAATAAGACAGCTTTAATTTGTGAATATGTCCAAGTTATTGTCATAATAGACAAAAGGAAATTTTGTATAGCTAAAAAAACTCCTTCTCCATAGGCACTAAAAACAAATAAACAACCAATTCATATAGTTCATAAATTGTATGAAAGTGAATGTTTAGTAAGATTTGTAGAAAATATACATGGGAATATGTGAAAATTAATGTATCCTGTATTTTGTTTCAGCCCCAAAATGCCCTGGTACGGCCGAGAGTGAAGAGGGGCCACCCTCCCTCTCGAAATCCTCTCACATGGCCACGCATATATAACCTCTGACGGGGAAGTTCTTCTCACTGCCTTCTCGTGGAATTACTGTTGTTCACGAAATTGGGAGGACGAAAACCGAATGTCCAGCGCTTTAACCAGGTTGGTGGACACGGAAAGTCCACACCTAGGAGAGTTGGAAAACCCTCATTTCAAACCAATCATCCATATGGACTCCAGCATCCTGAAGGAACAAATGGTGTATGAATCAATCGTTGGTCACCGGCTACCATGGGACTTCATCTCCTCACGATGCTTCACTGCCTTGTGGATCAGATTTTTAGGTCGATGGCTCCGGGTATGGCCCCCTAAGAAAACTACCTGTTTCGGTTTGGGCACCTGGTCAGTATCATAGCCCTCACACACAAATCAAATGAGATTTGTGCGGCGCATATATATCTGGTGCCCCTTTGTACCAAATATTTATGTGTTTGAATAAATAATAAATAAATATCAACCCTGATAGTTTTTATATGAGCATATGTGTGTTCATTTCCTATCTGACTTATTGTATATCTATAGGTTATATTTGTTTGACTATAGAATATCGATTAACAGTTGATTAAATGGAGTTGGCTAATTTACCTTCTTTAATCTGCTTCGCTCTTCTTTCTTTGTTTCATCTCCTTGATTGATTGATTATTCAAATCAATGATGAGTGCATGAAATATACACGTTTAAAGATTCATTGTCTTATTTAACTTATTTAATTCCTAACTATAAGAAATTCACGAAATTGCGCCACTGTCCACCATTGTCTTCAGTGAGTTACTATCTCATAACAGACACGGTTGAACTTCACTGATCACGGATTATCTTCTGTGAGTGGGATCACGGTTACGCACTACTGAGGAGTTCTATACTAAGACGAAATGGTTGTCCAGTGCTTCCAAGTTTTTCATGATGATCTAGCTTTAATCGACTTATGAATTCAACTATTAAATTACTACAATTTCCATAAAACCCTCTTTCTAAGTTAATTACTAACGCGGATTATGTCGATGATTATATATGACGATAGCCGACATGTGTATTTCAGTAACATTCATACGATCCAACTGGTGTCAGATATTGGGCTACTAAAAGCTAAACACAAATGAATATGATGATTTCTTCATTGATGGTAATTTAATTACTTTGTATGAATTCCCTAACATATTGATAACTTATAATGACAATCATGGTAAGCAGAGATGGATAGTGGCTAGCAGTGAAATCCAGGACGCGCGTTTCCT